TTTTATTTTCCATATTTGTTTTTTTTCCAGTTTTTTGGTCCGCGGGGAATATAATATTCCCAGGTGGTGGACAATCTGCCCTCCCTCAGCTTAAGTGAAATTAAAGCTGGGAGAGGACAGATGGTCCATCACCACCCCCTATCCGCCACCCGGGGACGCGCTCGGTAGGAAAAATCTGGAAAACTCCCCCTTCGCGAAAAAGTTTTGAAGCATTGTGAGAGAATTTAGTTCTCACAAGTGTGTTGAATTTACACAGAACTCCCCAGCGGTAAATGAAACAAAGTACTTAGATAATATTCGATGACATTAGTATGACGTTCTAAGCGAGCAATCTAAGTACTTAGAGTGCAATGTATGCGTAATCCAACATATCATGCACTTTAATTATAACATAGATTACCATTTAAGCAGAGAGTTAGCTGCCTTTTTCATGTTGTTTTTTGTTTTTATATCTTTACAAAAAAACAGAACTAAAGTACCGTTTTATTTTTCTTTTGTATGTATAGGTACTACAAGAAAAGAAACGCCAATAAAGAAAACAACCAGGCGAAAAATAATACAATCCGTAACAGCTGTTTCATCAAAATAATAATTTTATTGGTGTGGTGAGTTATTTTTGTTTACAAATATGTGTTTCTGCACGTGGAAATGACGCAAAAACTCGTTTACATTATTTACATTTTCAATATGTGTTTATGCACGTGGAAAAGATTCAAAAAATTGATTTTCATGATTTACTTTGAAAAAATTATTTTTGATCAATTAAAATATGAATATAAATGTGGAAGGGAACAAATCTGATAAAATATAAATATATTTGGGATTATATCGTTACAGAATGCCTTTTAATAAAAAACATTCAAAAAATTTTACTATGGTCATATATAGAAAATGATATATAACTGCTATCGGACGATCTTGTGCACGATAAAAACCTATATAGAACTTTAAGTTGGAAGTGTAGAAATCGGATGGCATACATTTTTTTGAAGATTTCATCGTTCTAGGGTGTGTACTACAACAACCAACTTTTTTTTACAAAAAATGTTACTATGGAAGTATATATAAATTTGTATATAACTGCTATCGGACGATCTTGTGCACGATAAAAATCTATATAGAACTTTAAGTTGGAAGTGTAGAAATCGGATGGCATATATTTTTTCCAGATTTCATCGTTCTAGGGTGTGTACTACAACAACAAACTTTTTTTTTACCAAAAATGTTATTATGGAAGTATATATAAATTTATATATAACTGCTATCGGACGATCTTGTGCACGATAAAAACCTATAGAGAACTTTAAGTTAGAAGTGTAGAAATCGTATGGCTTACATTTTTTTGTAGATTTCATCGTTCTAGGGTGGGTACTACAACAACAAACTTTTTTTTACAAAAAATGTTACTATGGAAGTATATATAAATTAATATATAACTGCTATCGGACGATCTTGTGCACGATGAAAACCTATATGAAAATTTAAGTTGGAAGTGTAGAAATCGGATGGCATACATTTTTTTGTAGATTTTATCGCTCTAGGGTGTGTACTACAACAACAAACTTTTTTTTACAAAAAATGTCACTATGGAAGTATATATAAATTAATATATAACTGCTATCGGATGATCTTGTGCACGATGAAAACCTATATGGAAATTTAAGTTAGAAGTGTAGAAATCGGATGGCATACATTTTTTTGTAGATTTCATCGTTCTAGGGTGTGTACTACAACAACAAACTTTTTTTACAAAAAATGTTATTATGGAAGTATATATAAATTTATATATAACTGCTATCGGACGGTCTTGTGCACGACGAAAACCTATATAGAACTTTAAGTTGGAAGTGTTGAAATCGGATGGTGTTGGGAAAAATACAAATTACCATCTACATAATTTTTCTAGATTTAAAATGATATAACAAATTGAATTAATATATATTGTTTTGCTTCAGCGTAATATTAATATATTGAATTTAAAGTTAATGATCATTATCTATAATTATAACAAATTTTAATATTCATTACACTCAATTATTGCGATCATTGGTAAATATGAATTTATATGTATGTACAGATGAGAGCAAGTCGAATAGACTATAAGGTGAAGTCATTTCATTTTGCGGCGAATTCATGAAATTTTTTATATATGTAGTTTGACAGCGTCGGGTTTGAGAGAGAATTTTTTTTATATTGAGTTTGACAACTTCGGGCTAAATTTCCATGGACAAAAAAACAATCAGCTGTTGAAATGACTTCACCTTATTAGTTTCGCCATGGATGAGAGTGTTGCTGCATTGAGTAGAATTGTCTCTTTTCAGTTTCTCTTACACATTTTAATGATTTTAATTGAGTGTAATTGTAAAAAATGTAAATGAGAAAGAAAGTAACTGTTCTGTAAGTCTGTATTTTAAAACAAGTTTGAGTTATTTATTTCTTTTAAACTTATTATATTAAAATTTATGCTTTTTTCTTATATTTTGCTAATTCTTCTTTAAGCTGTCGATAGAAGTAGACATGCGTTTTCTTTTTTTTAATAAATCTGAATGTACAATATTAAAAGTTAACGTGTGCCATTATTTTTGGGTTATTTAAAAAAAAGTCGATGTATATAATTGAAGAATTTTCTAAATACTTAAACATTGGTGCCGAAACCCGGGAATCTTGAGATTCCACAGTATTACAAAGGAGGAAGGCCGAAGGTTATTTTATAATTTTAATAAAATTTGGTAAGCGTATAATGTGGATAAATCTAAAATTTTTAACGGAAATACTATTTATTGAATTTTATTAAAACTTTGAAATAACCTGAATTTTTTCTCTTTCTTTTTTTTTACTTTTGAGAATATTTTTACATATTGAAATTTTTACTACAATTGTCTAATTGACGGTAATATGATCTTCGTACCTTTGCAACATGTTGGCTAATAAGTTTATAGTCTTCCGATTAATAATTATTATTTCATGAAATAGCTAGTACAACTGTACAATAATTTTCATCTATTTCATGAATTTAATTTAATTTTTTTGCTATATTAAATCTAATTTACTCTGAATTTCTATGTACGTCTGTACACTTTAAGAGTAAAAATTTTGATAATTTGAGTACGGTGGATATACCACTCCACGTGATTGTTCACGCCGATTATATAATACTTTAATTTGGAAAATTTTAATAAATTGGAAAATTGCATAAATATTTAAACGATTTGAAATAAAGATTTTGAGAAAAATAATTGATAGCTTACTTGTCTTTTCATATTGAATATATTTCAAAATGGCTGATTTACAAACATTAATAGAAATTCAAAGAAATTCATTGAGTACGGTTAGACGTCTTAGTGAACGATTTTTGTGGAAGGATAATTCGGAAAAGACACGGGGTTATATTGATTCTCTTATTTTGGAGCTTGATAGTTTATTTCAAACTTTTAAATTCCAACATGATGAGATTTTACGAGTTATTCGGGAAACTTCCTTAAATCCATCTGATGTGCCATATATGGCAGATGAATGCTTCTTCGAATTTTCGGAAATTTACTTTTCATTTAAAGGTAGACTATTTGATAGTTTACCAGTTGATACTACCCGTTCTCCATTGAGTAGTACTTTTGCTATGCCAAGTGGTCATGCTGATATGACCGTGAATATGGATGCAAGACTCCCGAAGATTTCTCTTCCAAAATTTTCTGGAGAATACATTGATTGGATACCATTTCGTGATATTTACTTATCATTAGTTCATACTAACGGATCACTTTATAAGATTCAAAAATTTTATTATCTAAAAGGAACTCTTACTGGAGAAGCTGCATCTCTTATTAAAACTATTTCAGCCACAGAAGCTAATTATACATCAGCTTGGAATATTTTAGAGACTAGATATCACAATAGACGTGCGATAGTAGGTACTCTTATTCAAAAGCTTTTTAACGTCCCAAAATCTGATGGCAGTTTCCAAAGCATAAAATCTTTATTAGATACTACCCAAGAATGCATTTCCTCTTTGAGAAATCTCGAAGTTGACACTTCTACATGGGATCCGTTGTTAATATATTTAATTTGCAAAAACTTGATCTTCAGACAAGAAGAGAATGGGAACATTCTTTGAAGTCAACAACTGAAGTTTCAAACTTGTCGGAAATGTTTTCTTTCTTAGGAAGAACTTTTAGATCTTTGGAATCATTGAATGAGTTGCCACATGCCAAAATTAAACATTCTCAAGGAAACAATCCTAAGAATAAGAAACAGTCATATGTTCATAACGCTAATGTTTCAAAACCTAAATCAAATTCATGCCATTTTAGTGGAAAACCTCATTATCTTTCACAATGTTACAAGTTCCTGGCTTTGCCTTTAAAATAGGAATATTTGTAGAAATTGCTTGTCTGCCAATCATACTCAAGATAACTGCAATAGTTTGAATAGGTGCGGTACTTGTAAACAACCTCACCATACGATATTACACGTTGAAGAGTCTGTTTCTGTACAGAACACTAACATAGTCCCACAACCACTTTGTGACAGTGATCCAATAGCTGCCCATAGTTCCCACTCAACTCGACATAACGTATTATTATATACTATACGCCTTTTCGCTAATACTAAACATGGCCATTTCTCATTGCGTGCTCTTTTGGATCCTGGCTCTCAGGGAACTTTAATTTCTAAATCTGCCGTTCAAGTATTACGTCTGCCTAGGCGGAAGTCCCAATGTAAGGTGATTGGAGTAGGGACTGAGTGTGAAAGTATATCGAAACACACCGTTGATATTGATTTATTGTCGCGGTGGAAACGGCCAATCTTATCTTGCATCGCATTAGTCCTATCGAATATTTCCTCATACAAGCCAATTAATTGTTCGCGTGAGATATCTTTGCCTAAGTTGAATAATGAAGACTTTGCTGATCCATTCTTTTTTAATACTGATCCAATTGACATTATTTTAGGCTCTAACGTTTGTTCAAAGATTAAGATTCCTTCTGAATCGTTCATTCACAATGATCTGTTTTTCCAAAATACGCTTTTTGGAGGGTTTTTTTTCTGGTTCATTTGAATCAATTGCTACCTACCAGATTACTTTGCATAATGTGAATTTGGAACATCTCTTGAGGGCCTTTTGGGAACAAGAGGAAGTTGCTTCAGGGCGAGATTTATCCAATGAAGAATTGGCTTGTGAGAATTATTTTAAATCCACAACTAAGCGTAATTCATATGGACGCTATGTGGTGAATCTACCATTTAAGTCAGTCTTACTGACTGATGAACTTCCCACAATCCATAACAATATGATTAGTGCTTTTAAACGATTTAAACAACTTGAAAAATCTTTTTCTAAACGTCCATCTTTTTCTGAAAGTTATATAAGTTTTATGCATGAATATGAGTCCTTGGGCCATATGTCTAAAATTGGAACATATCCTGGTAGTATTGAGGAAAATTCATACTTCTTGCCACATCATGGCGTCTTCAAAGAAGATAGTACTACCACAAAATTAAGGGTAGTCTTCGATGGCAGTAGCCACGTTGAAGGAAGAAAATCCTTGAATGAAGAACTTTTGCCAGGTCCTGCGTTACAGAACGATTTGCCAACTATTTTGAATAAATGAGAAAACATAGAATTGCTTTCAGCGCGGATATAGAGAAAATGTTTAGGCAGGTGGATGTTACTCCTGAACATCGTAGATTTCAACAAATTTTTTGGCGATATAGACCACAGTATGAAATTTCTGTTTATCAACTGAATACGGTGACATATGGCACTACATCAGCACCATACCTATCCATTCGTGTTTTACATCAGCTCGCCTTTGACTACAGAACCTATTTTCCAGAAGAATCTTAACCGGGACAATATAGTGAAGACACTAGGTATTCAATGGAATACAACTACCGATTCCTTTTCTTTTAAAGTTAACATTGATCAGTCCCATCTAGTTTCAAAGAGAACTATTTTATCTGAAACTGCACGATTATATGATCCATTAGGTTGGCTGACACCTAGTACTCTCATTGCAAAGTCTTTATTTAAAGAACTTTGGGAGAAAGGTGTAGATTGGGATGATGAAATTCCTTCTACAATTAAGCAGAAATGGCTACAGTACAGATCTACTCTTATCAGACTTACTGAGCTAAGAATCCCAAGATGGATACATTATAGTACTGGTTCTAATATTGAACTTCACTGTTTTTGTGATGCGTCAACAGTAGCTTATGCTGCTGCTGTTTATGTCAGGGTAACTACTTCGAATGGAATTTTTGTCAATCTTTTACAAGCAAAGTCCAAAATATCTCCCGTAAAAACTGTTTCAATACCGAGACTTGAACTCCGTGCTGCCACTCTCTTGGTCAAATTGACTGCAAAGGTTAAAGATTCTTTTGTGGATACGGGAATAACAGACATCTTATTTTGGAGTGATAGCTCCACGGTTTTATGTTGGATTAGGAAACCACCGGCAAATTGGACGGTTTATGTAGCCAATAGGGTTGCCGAAATCCAACGTCTTAGTGATCCTTTGCAATGGAAGTATGTTCCATCTGCTTTAAACCCAGTTGATTGTGCATCCAGGGGAATTTTTCCTAATGAACTAATGGATTGCAAAACGTGGTGGCACGGCCCAAATTTCTTATATAAACCGCCAAATTCTTGGCCCAAACCTCTTTCAATTTTTGACACTTCTCAAGGGAGAAGGAAATCTCCTAAACCTAACATTTGCGTTTCGAATACAACACTTAGTTTTAACGAACGAGATGATGGGAAAGAACCATCTACTTATCCAGACTTTCTTTTAAAATTCTCAAAACTGAGAACATTGTTGAGAGTAACGTCATTTTGCTACCGATTTGCGTATAATACTAAAGTTAATCAATTAAATAAAGATCTTAGGGAAACCACTTCGCTTAACGTTGCAACAATAAACAATACTTTCAAAAGGTTGCTTAAAATTACACAAGCAATCGATTTTCCAGAGGACGTTAGGAAACAGATTTTGAATGGTAACGCCAAAAAAAGTGCTCTTCTGAAATTAATGCCCTTTATCGATAATGATGATTTCATTCGTGTGGGTGGTCGTTTGCATAATTCTATGCTCCCATATGATGTTAAACATCCAATACTTTTGTCTAGAACGAACCCTCTTTCCAAACTCATTATAAAAGAAGCACACGAAAACACTTTACATGGCGGGATCACCCTGACTATGTCCTACGTTAACAGAAGATATTGGATAATATCTGGCAATCGATTAGCTAAGAATATTATAGGTAGTTGTATTCGTTGCTTTAAATATTCTGCAAAATCTGCAACCCAGATTATGGGGAATTTACCTTCTGTGCGTTTAAACATCACCAGGCCTTTCAAGCATAGCGGCGTTGATTATGCCGGCCCCATTTCTATGAAAAATTCAACTATTAGATCTGCTATTATATCTAAAGGATATATCTGTCTATTTGTTTGTATGGTACCAAGGCCATACATTTGGAGGCAGTTTCTGACTTAACAAAAAATTCGTTTTTAGCTGCTTTTCGTAGATTTGTGGCTCGTAGAGGTGTTTGTACCGACATCTACTCAGATTGTGGTACAAACTTTGTAGGTGCCTCGAGGGAGCTTCAGATTATTTTTAATAGAAATAAAAAATCTATTCCTGGGGACTTACGTAATTCATTAACCTCATATGGAACGGAATGGCATTTTATTTCGCCTGCCTCGCCAAATTTTGGAGGTCTTTGGGAGGCAGGTGTGAAATCTGTAAAATATCATTTAAAACGTGTAATGCATGACAAAATTCTAAGCTTTGAAGAGCTGACAACACTACTTAGTCAAATAGAAAGTTGTCTGAACTCACGCCCGCTATGTCCTTTTTCATCGGATCCATCAGATTTGGACGCCTTGACTCCAGCCCATTTTTTAATAGGTGAGCCTACTAACTGTATCCAGGAAGAAAATATGCTTGACGTGAACATAAATCGTCTTTCACGATGGAAGACCATAGATAACCTCAAATAACATTTTTGGAAACGCTGGTATTTGGAATATCTAAATCGCCTGCAGGCTCGTCCGAAGTGGCTTAAGTCCAAGCAAGATGCTAAAATAGGTGACCTTGTTCTTGTTTCTGATGAGAGGTGTGGTCCTGGTCAATGGTTGATGGGACGAATTCAACGCAAGAAGTATCAACACCACAATATGATGCAATATCTTCTAATACACGGATGGGGTCTGATCCTGGCGCTGTGAGTCGGAGCATAGCGAAGTCAATAGACTAAACTAAAATACTCCCAACGATAGACCGTCCGTTTATTAACTCCACCTTCTTAAGAACTGTCGTTCTTGGGAGGCAGTATGTTGGGAAAAATACAAATTACTATCTACATAATTTTTGTAGATTTAAAATGATATAACAAATTGAATTAATATATATTTTTTTGCTTCTGCTTAATATTAATATATTGAATTTAAAGTTAATGATCATTATATATAATTATAATAAATTTTAATATTCATTACACTCAATTATTACGATCATTGGTAAATATGAATTTATATGTATGTACAGATGAGAGCAAGTCGAATAGACTATAAGGTGAAGTCATTTCATTTTGCGGCGAATTCATGAAATTTTTTATATATGTAGTTTGACAGCGTCGGGTTTGAGAGAGAATTTTTTTTATATTGAGTTTGACAACTTCGGGCTAAATTTCCATGGACAAAAAAACAATCAGCTGTTGAAATGACTTCACCTTATTAGTTTCGCCATGGATGAGAGTGTTGCTGCATTGAGTAGAATTGTCTCTTTTCAGTTTCTCTTACACATTTTAATGATTTTAATTGAGTGTAATTGTAAAAAATGTAAATGAGAAAGAAAGTAACTGTTCTGTAAGTCTGTATTTTAAAACAAGTTTGAGTTATTTATTTCTTTTAAACTTATTATATTAAAATTTATGCTTTTTTCTTATATTTTGCTAATTCTTCTTTAAGCTGTCGATAGAAGTAGACATGCGTTTTCTTTTTTTTAATAAATCTGAATGTACAATATTAAAAGTTAACGTGTGCCATTATTTTTGGGTTATTTAAAAAAAAAGTCGATGTATATAATTGAAGAATTTTCTAAATACTTAAACAGATGGCATACATTTTTTGGTATATTTCATCGTTCTAGGGTGTGTACTACAACAAACTTTTTTTTACCAAAAATGTTACTATGGAAGTATATATAAATTTATATATAACTGCTATCGGACGATCTTGTGCATGATAAAAGCCTATATAGAACTTTACGTTGGAAGTGTAGAAATCGGATGGCATACATTTTTTTCCGGATTTCATCGTTCTAGGGTGTGTACTATAACAACAAACTTTTTTTTTACAAAAAAATGTTACTATGGCCGTATATATAAAATGATATATAACTGCTATCGGACGATCTTGGGCACGATGAAAACCTATATAGAACTTTAAGTTGGAAGTGTAGAAATCGGATGACATACATTTTTTTTTTACAAAAAATTTTACTATGGAAGTATATATAAATTTATATAACTGCTATCGGACGATCTTGTGCATGATAAAAGCCTATATAGAACTTTAAGTTGGAAGTGTAGAAATCGGATGGCATATAGTTTTTTTCCAGATTTCATCGTTCTAAGGTGTGTACTACAACAACAAACTTTTTTTACAAAAAATTTTATTATGGAAGTATATATAAATTTATATATAACTGCTATCGGACGATCTTGTGCACGATGAAAACTTATATAGAACTTTAAGTTGGAAGTGTAAAAATCGGATGGCATACATTTTTTGTAGATTTCATCGTTCTAGGGTGTGTACTACAACAACAAACTTTTTTTTACAAAAAATGTTACTATGGAAGTATATATAAATTTATATATAACTGCTATCGGACAATCTTATGCACGATAAAAACCTATATAGAACTTTAAGTTGGAAGTGTAGAAAGAGGATGGCATATATTTTTTCCGGATTTCATCGTTCTAGGGTGTGTACTACAACAACAAACTTTTTTTTTACAAAAAATGTTACTATGGAAGTATATATAAATTTATATATAACTGCTATCGGACGATCTTGTGCACGATAAAACCCTATATAGAACTTTAAGTTAGAAGTGTAGAAATCAGATGGCTTACATTTTTTTGTAGATTTCTTCGTTCTAGGGTATGTACTACAACAAAAAACTTTTTTTTACAAAAAATGTTACTATGGAAGTATATATAAATTAATATATAACTGCTATCGGACGATCTTGTGCACGATAAAAACCTATATGGAAATTTAAGTTGGAAGTGTAGAAATCGGATGGCATAAATTTTTTTGTAGATTTCATCGTTCTAGGGTGTGTACTACAACAACAACAAACTTTTTTTAAAAACAAATGTTACTATGGAAGTATATATAAATTTATATATAAAAGCTCTCGGACGATCTTGTGCACGATGAAAGCCTATATAGAACTTTAAGTTGGAAGTGTAGAAATCGGATGGCATAAATTTTTTTGTAGATTTCATCGTTCTAGGGTGTGTACTACAACAAAAAACTTTTTTTTTACAAAAAATTTCACTATGGAAGTATATATAAATTGATATATAACTGCTATCGGACGATCTTGTGCATGATAAAAACCTATATAGAACGTTGGAAGTGTAGAAATCGGATGGCATACATTTTTTTCCGGATTTCATCGTTCTAGGGTGTGTACTACAACAAGAAACTTTATTTTACAAAAAATGTTACAATGGAAGTATATATAAATTTATATATAACTGATATCGGACGATCTTGTGCACGATAAAAACCTATATAGAATTTTAAGTTGGAAGTGTAGAAATCGGATGGCATATATTTTTTCCGGATTTCATCGTTCTAGGGTGTGTACTACAACAACAAACTTTTTTTTTACAAAAAATTTTATTATGGAAGTATATATAAATTGATATATAACTGATATCGGATGATCTTGTGCACTATAAAAAACTATATAGAACTTTAAGTTGAAAGTGTAGAAATCGGACGGCATACATTTTTTTCCGGATTTCATCGTTCTAGGGTGTGTACTACAACAACAAACTTTTTTTTTACAAAACATGTTATAATGGAAGTATATATAAATTTATATATAACTGCTATCGGACGATCTTGTGCTCGATAAAACCCTATATAGAACTTTAAGTTGGAAGTGTAGAAATCGGATGGCAAACATTTTTTTTCCGGATTTCATCGTTCTAGGGTGTGTACTACAACAACAAACTTTTTTTTACAAAAAATGTTACTATGGAAGTGTATATAAATTTATATATAACTGCTATCGGACGATGGCATATATTTTTTTGTAGATTTCATCGTTCTAGGGTGTGTACTACAACAACAAACTTTTTTTTTACAAAAAATGTTACTATGGAAGTGTTAGGTCACCGTATAATAATTACTAACATTATTATTTTGTTTTGTTTAAATTTTCCATTTTTTATTGTATTTAAATTTATTCATATTTTTGGCTCACTGTTGCCACTGTAATTTGTCATTATTTTTTGCTCATACTAACCACTGTACTTATTTTTGGTAATGACCCGTTAGTTTTTTATTATTTGTTTCTCACTCCAATTCTTATTACAAGCGTATTGTTGTTGCTCTTAAAAATGCAATTTATTTATTTGGAGACTTATTGCATGTATTTTGTTTTTGCATATTTTGAATATAAGTAAACAAGTTGAGTTGGAACATTGGAAGTGAGAAACAAATAATAGTACAACAACAACAGTGTAGCCCAAGGCGAATAGACTATAAGGTGAAGACATTTCATTTTGCGGCGAATTCATGAAATTTTTTATATATGTTGTTTGACAGCGTCGGGTTTGAGAGAGAATTTTTTTTATATGGAGTTTGACAGCTTCGGGCTAAATTTCCATGGACAAAAAAACAATCAGCTGTTGAAATGACTTCACCTTATTAGTTTCGCCATGGTGTAGCCCTTATTTACAAGATCAATTGTTAGGCTTAAGGAAATTATTTTTAAATAAAGAAATCATTGTCAGAGTTGAATTCATTCGAACAACATCGCTCTTCATCGTACATTTTGGAGCCCAACGTGGGGCAAGTGATTAATCTAAATCTTACTAAATTTGTCGTTCTCGGTCCGTGGTATATTCTAAAATTGTCGTTGAAGTACAACTTAAAGTAAAAGTGTACGGTCGTATTGTGAAGTGGAAATTGTGGTTCTATGATAACAGCAATATCTAGTGCTATAGAAATAAAAAAAAATTTGTGGTTCAAATAAAAACTTTTGTGCAACAGAAATAAAAAATTAAACATTAAAAAAAAAACTGTGAGAAAACATATAAAAAAAACTATTCGAAAAATCAAGAGATAGTGCAACATATATAAAAAACTGTTAAACAAATTTTTAGTGACGTACCTATTACAAATCTATTTTTAAACAAATAAATATATTCGGTTCTAGTACATAATATAATGGTTTCTGTACACCAAATTTTTTGTCGATACGATACATAGTGTCATCCATTTTGTATAATATTTTTGAACATTTTTGGCTCACTTAACCTTAATTTTTAAATTTTATATATATATTGAAAAGTTTAATCATTTGCTAAACTGCCTCCAAGGCCAAGCTCTAGAAACGGTCAAGGCTTTCCAGATTACGAACGAAAATTACCCGAAGGCTCTGGAAAGGCTCAAAACGCGTTATGATAATAGCTCGCTTATTTTTATGGAAAATATTACCGCCCTTTTTGAACTTCCAGCCATGTCCAAATACAATTGTGCCCAATTACGAAGTCTCGTCGATAATGTTTCTGCCTTTTATAGTTCCTTACTGTCTCTTGGCTCACATAGTGATATTGCTAATTCCACGCTGAACCTACTACTTCTCATGTTGCCTTGAATGAATCTTCTGCCTCGGTCCATACCCATATGGAAAATCGTCGCCGGAACAGGTGCTGCTTGCTACTGCCATGGTTCTAGTTCGTGACTCCACTGGTCGCTATCAATTGGGACGCGCTTTGTTAGATTCTTGCTCTCAATTGAATTTCATAAACAATGAATTTTCCCAAAAATTACATTTGCCTCGTACAAAACAAACTACTGAAGTCTCTAGCGTTGGTAACACTCTTAGCAAATCTAAATATAGGTCGTCCACAAATGTAAAATCTCGAGTCACAGATTTTAAAGTTTCGCTCTCGTTTTGTGTCACACCTCACATTTCGTATCAACCTGATAATGAATTAGATGTCTCATCCTGGAATTTGCCCCCAAATACTCAACTTGCGGATGAAAACTTCTTCAAATCAAAACGAATTGATTTACTTATTGGTACTGAAACGTTTTTCGACATTTTAGCAGTCGGTCAAATTAAACTTGGTCCTAATTTGCCTAAATTACACAAAACACTTTTCGGATGGATTGTAGCAGGTCGTTATGTATCAAAACAACTCAATATTTGTGGCTCTTCTTGTATGCTTTCGATAGAAGGAGATATTGATCTTAAATTACAGCGCTTGTGGGAAATTGATGAAGTTCAATCTGGCTCAAATGATTTGACACCAGAACAATCTGAATGTGAAACATTTTTCAATGATACTGTTCATCGTGAATCTTCAGGTAGGATTGTTGTTAAATTGCCCTTCAAGGAATCGACTGACGCTTTAGGTCGTTCTCGAAATATGGCTCTTAAAAGATTTGTATCTCAAGAGAGACGATTTGCTCGTGACAGCAATCTTAAATCCCAATATGTTGCTTTTATGAAGGAGTATGAAGATTTTGGACATATGAGTCTAGTTCGTAGCCCTCGTCTACACGAGCCTCATTATTTCATCCCTCACCATTGCGTTTTCAAACCAAGTAGCACTTCCACAAAGTTAAGAGTTGTTTTCGATGCCTCGTGCCCATCATCGTCCCAGAAGTCTCTCAATGATCTTCTTATGGTTGGCCCAACAATTCAAGATGAGCTGTATAAAATTTTACTTCGGTTCCGTCTTCATCGCTTCGCTCTTACTGCCGATATAGTAAAAATGTATCGACAAGTCCTTATTGACTTCCAAGATAGAAAATTCCAATATATTTTGTGGACAAATTCAAAAGAGGAAGAAATTCGAACATATCAGCTAAATACAGTCACTTATGGAATGTAAGCTGCGCCCTACCTTGCCATCAAAAGTCTTCACTATCTCGCAGACCAATACATGGACCAATTCGAACTTGGTGCAAAAACCATTAAGTCATCATTTTACGTTGATGATTTTCTTTGTGGCTCAGATACACTTGAAGAATTGTCTCGTATGAAGCAGGAGATTAATGAAATTCTAATTCGTGGTTCGTTTCAATTAGATAAGTGGCACTCTAATCATAGAGATTTTCAGGACAACAAAACTGTCAAAGACCTTAATATTGAAGATTCTGGAGTAACTAGCGCTCTAGGTATCACTTGGGAAGATGTTTTCTTATTTTCGTTTTCGCCTAAAGTCCAAATTGATGAAAAAATCACCAAACGTACAATTTTGTCGCTCTCGTCAGCGCTTTTCGATCCCCTAGGACTTCTATCCCCTCTCATAATAAAAGCTAAAATCATCATGCAAGAGTTGTGGATTCTAAAAATTGGCTGGGATGAGTCTGTACCTCAAGAAATACACTCGGCTTGGAAATCTTTCGTCTCTGATCTCAAACTATTACCTTCGCTTAAAATTCCTCGTTTTTGTCTCGCTCCTGATTCTAAATCAGTTCAACTTCATGGCTTTTGTGACTCATCAATTCGTGCTTATGGTTGTTGTTTTTACTTTCGTGTTAAAACTTCTTCAGGAAATGTTGTTGTTCGGCTCTTTACTGCCAAATCTAGAGTTGCTCCTACAAAGCGAAAATCGTTACCAAAACTTGAGTTATGTGGCGCACAACTTCTAGCAAAATTGTATTCCAAAATCAAAAATCTTTTCGCAATACCAAATCTGGAAGTCGTTCTGTGGACAGATTCGCAACTAGTTCTTCACTGGCTAAAGCAACATTCATCTACTTTGTCAGTTTTTGTTGGCAATAGGGTATCAGAAATTCAAGATTTAACTAATGGCTACGTTTGGCGACATGTCCCAACCCAGTTCAACCCTGCTGACATCGTTTCTCGTGGCTCAACTGTGCAGGAACTCGCCTCATCCATCTGGTTCAACGGACCATCATTTCTCGCTCTCGATCCTGTTCAGTGGCCCCTACTAAAACTGATAAGCTCTCCGAAGAAAATCAGCAAGTATTCGACAAAGAAAAACGGAAAACCGTACTTCATCTTGAAACAAAATCTAACTACATCCTCGATTCTGTTTGAAAATATAGCTCGTACTTAAAAATCATTCGTATTATTGCCTGGATGTTTCGTTTAGCTCAAAAAACAAAAACTAATATTTCCAATTCTGACTCTTTGCAGCCCCAAGAATTAGAAAATGCTAAACTTTGTATCGTTTTCAACATCCAGATTTTCAAGATGACATAATTCGAGCTCTAAAGAAGAAAGATCCCCAAGGTGCTCTAAAGTGTCTGAACCCCTTCTTAGATTCGTCAAATGGTTTCAACTTGCTCAAGGTCGGCGGACGCTTGGAGTACGCGGCAATTTCTGAAGGTCAAAAACACCCCATAATCTTGCCCAGCAAATGCCATTTCGTCCACTGTTACGTACGTCATCTGCACATCAGTAACTACCACGCTGGACCCAAGGCTCTAATGTCATTAATTCGCCAACAATTTTGGATCATCAACTCCAGGAATTTGTGTCGCAGCATTGTAAATTCGTGCCCTCAATGCATTCGCTATCGCCCAAAGTTGTTGCAACAAATGATGGGAAATTTGACTGTGGAACGACTCAACCCGTCAAGGCCCTTCGCAAGATGTGCTGTCGATTTTTGTGGTCCAGTCAACGCCTACCTAAGAATTAGAGAAAAGTCCCCTACAAGACATACATCGCCTTTATTGCTGCCCTAAAACGGATGATTGGTCGTAGAGGTCAGCTCACAGATATATTCTGTGATAATGCAACAAATTTCGTGTGGGAGGCGGCCGTCAAATCGACCAAAGGTCACTTAACCAGAACCCTGGACAACACAAGGCTCACCTACGAAGAACTCGCAACGGCTATGATTGAGATAGAGGCAGTTTTAAACTCGAGGCCCATTTCGCCTCTATCCTCAGATCCCAGTGACTTTGAAGCTCTTACACCAGGCCACTTATTGATAGGCGCTCCCCTCCGTAGTTTGCCAGAACGTGATGTCCCTTCAAATGAGATTAACAAACTTGAATATTGGGCCCGAATAAGCGCCATCAAGCAAGAATTCTGGAAAAAGTGGTCCCATGATTATATAAATGAGCTCCAGACTCGCAACAAATGGACTAGCACCAACTCTAATATTGCTAATGGGTCCCTAGTAATCATCAAAGAAGATAATTTACCCCCGCAGCGTTGGCTCATGGGTAAAATCATCAACATTGTTCGTGGAAGAGATGATCGTGTTCGAGTTGTCGACATCAAAACTACAAAAGGAGTTATACGTCGCCCTATCCACAGACTGGCTCTTCTATCTTCTTGAAAGTGTCCTTTCAATAGAGCCGGAATGTTAGGTCACCGTATAATAATTACTAACATTATTATTTATTTATTTACAACAAGACTAATAATCTTATAATTACAGTACAGGATGAGCTTATTGGAAATAGTTATTATGTAATATAAAAATTTAATATCAAAGAACACAAACAAATTTATATAAATTTCAAAGCAAAGAATATAAAGAAATGGGGGCTTGTCAGTTGGTATGTAAAGGAGTTGTCATTCGGTACCTAACTCTAAGTATGTATTGGTAGAATTTTTGTATTAGTATTGGAGCTCCAACCACTTTCACCACACTTTCCAAACATACATACTTGCATAAAATCGTACATAAAAATTTTAAGAAAAATAAATAACATTTTAATTTCTATATTCGCAGATTTTTTAATTTATTTTGCCCACATCTAATCAGTAAACATATAATAAATATATTTTTCGGACTTAAAATCTCTTTTTTTTTGCAAAAAATAAGTTTATTTTAAATAATTTTTTCATTTTCAATACCAAAATATACAACTTTGTTTTGTCGATTTTAATTTCAACACACAAAAATTAATTGTCAAAAAAATTAAAAAAATATTTTTTTTAGTTTGTGAAAAATAAATCTATTTCGGATTGTTAAATGCGATAAAATTGTGTAAAAAATTAAAAAATACTTATGTGTTTGTTGAAAAACGTCGCACAGTGGGGCAGAATGGAAATTTTTTGGAAATAAATCTGGCATTTCTAAACGGCTGATCCGATCGGGATAAAATTTGGCGTGAGCGTAGCCAAGGAGTATTCGAGTTTAAGTTTTGATGAACCCTGCAGATGCCCCAGGGACGGCGCTGTGGCGGCTCAAAGTAGGGTACCTACGACATGTAAAATTTTTAAACTCGTGCCATTTTTTTGTTTTTCACCCAAATACAAAGATTTTTATATTTTGTGAAAGCGCTCGACGAGATCTTGAAAAAACATGCTTGGACATACTACTTATCTCTTATAATATCCGAGTTATAGGCATTTAAAAATTTAGTGATACAAAATTTACCATACCTTGGTCCGCCTTTTTTTGAATACCGGGCGTAATTTTGGACCAAATGGACTCAATTTTTCTTGTTAGTTAGACAACAAAATTTCCAATAATATACAAAAAATTTCAGATCAATATTGTTTACAGATCCAAAAATATACGTTTTTTAATTTAAAAATTCAAAAAATTTTAGATTTTTGGCGTTTTTTTGCCAAAAATGTGTCTTAACTCTTTTATTAATAAAATAAAATTTTTATTAAGAACATATAACAATTTTATAGTTTTCTAAAAGGTATCTTTACGCAGAACGCTTTGGCGTAAAAAACTTGTCCTATTTTTTGAAAATGTTGCCACTGCGTCCTTCCGAATATGACCTATTTTTTATCAAAACTTCAACTTTGGGCGACATGTTCTAAAATCCCAAAGCTGGGATCAGAAAACTGAAAGCAGTTTTGGAAACCTCAATATGTTTTCTATTTACTCCAGAAGTATTTTCCCAGCCCTGAAAGAAATGTGGATCCTATGGGCAAAAAAGTAAAAAATCCCATTTTTGGGATTTTCATTCCTATTTTTGGGAATTGCGGGATGCCCTTTGACATTTTCAATTTTTTTTTTGCATATTCTTATTTGAAATGACAAATTTAACAAGCGTTGAAAATTTCATTGAGTTTTGTTCATAAATAAAGATTTTGTCATATATTACATATTTGTTTAATTTCTAAAACTATGATTTATATCAAAATTTTAATAGGATCGCAGATAGCTACAACAATTTAGTCCATATTTATCCCTTAATATCATTTTTTAGTTAGATATGGAAATTCTCGACCCTTTACAAAAAATTTCAAGCCAATATCTCAATTACATTCAAAAATATGTTCATTTAAACCTGTGTCCTTTAATTTCATCTTTTTCATATTTTAGTATTAAGTATGACAGAACATACATTTGGTGTTGAATAAAATATTTGGACAATTTTTAAAAATTATTTAGTTAATTATTTTATTATAATATTGTATATAAAATAAAAAAAATTATAATTTTATTATGAGCCACGCACAACAACACCTAAATCACCCCACACAAACCACCTTTCCCTCCCACCGAAATATAAAACACAATTTAATACAATATCATCAGTTAGTATAATAGCTTTTTTTATTTGAAATGTTTATCTTAAACATAATACAATTAATTCTTATAACCTACTTATATAGTTAATTCCTAACACTACTTATTTTCTATAAAATAATCTGTCATATCGGTATACATATCCAGAAGGTAATATAAGTCCTTTAAATCTTCCTTGTTTTGAGATGATAGAGTTTCATAACAAATCCATCTTTTTCGCATAGTTGAAAGAACAGGATCAGAAGATAGAAGTAAACTATTAAAAATATCTTCATTCTGTGATTGCCTGGAGCATTTTCTTGAGCTGAATAGTTGAACATGCTTAAAATCTCGATTCCTCGCTTCCTGGGCTTCTTCTGTTAACCCCCCAAGTGGAAGAATATTCGATTCAATTATTATTTGACCATGAC